AACTTAGCACTGCACATCAACAGAAAATACAGAATAAGAGCAATAGCATGTACTTTCTAAATGTAAATTGATAAATTGTAAGAGGACTAAAATTTTCATAGGGAGAATCCATCATCATGTTAATTGCTCTGTCAATCGGACTGGTGTATTCTCTTGAATGAGAATAATATCATGTCAATGAAATATTTTTACTCCGATAAATGTAAAATGTACTAAGAGGACTGAAATTTTAAGTCTGTCAAGCACTGGTGTGTTCTCTTGAATGAGCATAACTTTTTTATTTCTCAATGAAATTTTGCCAGTTTGGTATTATTTTGCTTGCAATAGCATGTACTTTTTAAATGTAAAATGATAAATTGTAAGAGGACTGAAATTTTCATAGGGAGAATCCATCATCATGTTAATTACTCTGTCAATCGGACTGGTGTGTTCTCTTGAATGAGCATAACTTTTTTATTTCTCTATGAAATTTTGCCAGTTTGGTATTATTTTGCTCGCAATAGCATGTACTTTTTAAATGTAAAATGTTAAATTGTAAAAGGACTGAAATTTTCATGAAATTTTGGGAGAATCCATCATCATGTAAATATTACTCCAATAATTGTACAATCGGACTGGTGTGTTCTCTTGAATGAGCATAACTTTTTTATTTCTCAATGAAATTTTGCCAGTTTGGTATTATTTTGCTTGCAATAGCATGTACTTTCTAAATGTAAATTGATAAATTGTAAGAGGACTAAAATTTTCATAGGGAGAATCCATCATCATGTTAATTACTCTGTCAATCGGACTGGTGTGTTCTCTTGAATGAGCATAACTTTTTTATTTCTCTATGAAATTTTGCCAGTTTGGTATTATTTTGCTTGCAATAGCATGTACTTTCTAAATGTAAAATGATAAATTGTAAGAGGACTAAAATTTTCATAGGGAGAATCCATCATCATGTTAATTACTCTGTCAATCGAACTGGTGTATTCTCTTGAATGAGCATAACTTTTTTATTCCTCTATGAAATTTTGCCAGTTTGGTATTATTTTGCTTGCAATAGCATGTACTTTCTAAATGTAAAATGATGAATTGTAAGAGGACTGAAATTTTTATAGGGAGAATCCATCATCATGCCAAATTTCTGTTAATCGTACTGCTGTGTTCTCTTGAATGGTCATAACTTTTTTATTTCTCTATGAAATTTTGCCAGTTTGGTATTATTTTGATCGCAATGGCATGTACTTTTTAAATGTAAATTGATAAATTGTAAGAGGACTGAAATTTTCATAGGGAGAATCCATCATCATGTTAAACTCTGTCAATCGGACAGGTGTGTTCTCTTGAATGAGCATAACTTTTTTATTTCTCAATGAAATTTTGCCAGTTTGGTATTATTTTGCTTGCAATAGCATGTACTTTTTAAATGTAAAATGATAAATTGTAAGAGGACTGAAATTTTCATAGGGAGAATCCATCATCATGTCATATTACTCCAATAATTGTACTTAAGTCTGGTGTGTTCTCTTGAATGAGCATAACTTTTTTATTTCTCAATGAAATTTTGCCAATTTGGTATCATTTTGCTCGCAATAGCATGTATTTTCTAATTGTAAAATGATAAATTGTAAGAGGACTGAAATTTTCATAGGAAGAATCCATCATCATGTTAATTACTCTGTCAATCGAACTGGTGTATTCTCTAGAATGAGCATAACTTTTTTATTTCTCAATGAAATTTTGCCAGTTTGGTATTATTTTGCTTGCAATAGCATGTACTTTTTGAATGTAAAATGTTAAATTGTAAAAGGACTGAAATTCTCATATGGAGAATCCATCATCATGTCATATTACTCCGATAATTGTACTTAAGTCTGGTGTGTTCTCTTGAATGAGCATAACTTTTTTATTTCTCAATGAAATTTTGCCAGTTTGGTATTATTTTGCTTGCAATAGCATGTACTTTTCAAATGTAAAATGATAAATTTAAGAGGACTGAAATTTTCAAAGGGAGAATCCATCATCATGTCATATTACTCCGATAATTGTACTTAAGTCTGGTGTGTTCTCTTGAATGAGCATAACTTTTTTATTTCTCAATGAAATTTTGCCAATTTGGTATCATTTTGCTTGCAATAGCATGTATTTTCTAAATGTAAAATGATAAATTGAAAGAGGACTGAAATTTTCATAGGGAGAATCCATCATCATGTTATACTCTGTCAATCGGACTGGTGTGTTCTCTTGAATGAGCATAACTTTTTTTATTTCTCTATGAAATTTTGCCAGTTTGGTATTATTTTGCTTGCAATAGCATGTACTTTCTAAATGTAAAATGATGAATTGTAAGAGGACTGAAATTTTCATAGGGAGAATCCATCATCATGCCAAATTTCTGTTAATCGTACTGCTGTGTTCTCTTGAATGGTCATAACTTTTTTTATTTCTCTATGAAATTTTGCCAATTTGGTATTATTTTGCTTGCAATAGCATGTACTTTCTAAATGTAAAATGATAAATGGAAAGAGTTAGGACTGAAATTTTCAAAGGGAAAGAAATAAAGAGATAAAATCAATTTCCATTCTCCTGTAGGATAATATATTCTATAAAACATTATGATAGAGAACTTTTAATCCTATTTGTGACAATTATGGAACTTCTTGTCCCATTTCACAACTTATGGGATAAAAAATCCCATGTAAGGTTAAAAATGGGAATTTTGATTCTATAGGAGAAAAAATCCCACAGAACTCATTTTTCTCCCACAGAATAATGGTGGGATATTGGTTAGGAGAGAAAATCCCACCATAATCCCATGGGATTTCTTGATTTCAGGTGTAATATCTTTTAAACTGGAAGATATTCAGGTGTAAAGGTTAGTCCATGTTGTGCGATTAAAAAAATCCCACCGGATGACATAAATTTTTTCTATGTATCTTTGGAAAAGTGGTTGGCGAAAGTCCGGACAAATGTCGTGTCCGGAGTTAAATGTCGCACTGTTCTATTTGAAATGGATAATTTCGACCAAAAAATGCAAAATAACTCCAAGAAAATAAAAATAAAATTTTCTATGAGTAGTTGCCATATTTCAATTTTAAATTGTTCCCTTTAGTAATATTTTTAGGATTAAAATAATCGATAGAATTACATGTACAATATGTATACATGTATCTTTAAATGGAAATGTTTAGGTCAGTTAAAAAAAAGTCGCCCGCGTGGTGCAGTGGCTAGAGCGTCTGCTCTAGAATCGCGAAGTAAGGTGTTGATCCTTACGTCGCGGGTTCGAATCCCACTGTGGGATGTTGGTCCTTCGGATGAGACTGTATAAACCGAGGTCCCGTGTCGCAGTAGGTGCTGACACGAAAAAGATCCCTCCCTGCTCAATGGCCCTGAGTGCCGACTATAGGACAAAATTTGCAGCTCTCCACCGGCAAGTGGTGACGTCTACATATAAGTGAAAAATTCTCGGGAGAGACGTTAAACAATATACAATCAATCAATCAATTAAAATAAAATAGTTTGTTGCCCTCTCCCAACCGACAGGCTGAAAATGGCCAGACTCAATTTTTTTAACCTCCAGGAAGCAATTTTTTAAGGTGTACTCTGGATAATATGATTAAAAAAATGGCACTGACATCAAAATTTTCTGAGAAATAATAATTTTCTTACCTGCTTACCAACCCAATATTTTGAGACCGGGTAAGGAGAGGGCAACCAACATTTTTCTAAAGTTGGCCTTAGGTTAAAAATTTGATAAACCGTGTGTTTACAGGATATGTGTGTCGCGTGCTGTGCTTTACTGGTTCCTTGCATGATCATCAATCATTGTCGCTGTGAATCCACTTCCGCCAAGTCGAGTTTTGTCAGCAAACTAGTCTTAATAATTTCATTTCGTAACCGTTTCTTTTGAAACAAAAATCGATCAAGAAGCAAAGTTTAATACAAAATTTTGGTATCAGAAAGTGGGAATGCCAAGAGGGCAAAAGGGGGCACTCGCTTACAATCGCAATGGCTTGCCCGCTATTTATCAACAGGGATTAACGTCTTAGAAACAAGTTCTTGTTGATGGAGAAACATCAACACTTTCTGACATTGTTACGTGTATCTTAACTTTTTAGTTGGATAACACAGCTACTATCAGAAACGAAAGGGAAAAGAATTTTAGATTCCTAGAATGTTAAAATTAGCTTAATAGTATAGAACTCAACTTCTCCAACTTGGATAAAATGATAGTTCTTATTTGTTTTTTTGTTTTTTTTCATTATTATTCAAAGTTCTTTGATTGGCTCAAACTTGATCACATATTCAGGCACATAACATTAAACAGGCTTGTGTTGTAATAGTCACCCGCGTGGCGCATTGGTTGGAGCGTGTGCTCTAGAGTCGCGAAGCAAGGAGTTGATCCTTACGTCAAATCCCACTTTGGGACGCAGAGACGCCTTCTTATGAGACCATGAAAACCGAGGTCCCGTGTCGCAGTGAGTGCTGGCACGAAAATGATCCCTAACTGCTCAATGGCCCTGGGTGCCGAGAATAGGACAAAATTGCAGCTCTCCACCTGCAAGTGGTAGCGTTTCAATGTGAGTGAAAAATTCTTGAAAGGGACGTTAAACAACATACAATCAATCTCTCAGTGAACATGCATTTAAAGATTGTGAATTGCATACCGAGTTGATGCTTCTAATAACGGAAGTATCTTCAAAAGAACAGTACTGCATTGCTGACTTTACGATAGCTAATGTTATTGGTGTTTTCTAAAGAAATGCTTTAAACTTCTGTGATGTCTCTAATAATGTTAAAGATATAACAATGTCTTGAATAAGGATCTACTTTATATCAAATCATAATTATGTGATATGCTTCTCATCATGATACAAAATATAATTTTAAAATATGTAACTTTTCTTTGCACTTTTCTTTGCTCTGATAATGTATTTTGTATGAATAAAACATAGCAGATATTCACATTCATGACATCGTTTCATCATTACATCAAAGTTATTAGTATTTTACAGTTTGTGGACATTTGTCAAATGGAGTCTTCGCTCTGGTAGGCTCGCAGTCTCAAATTTCTCAAGAAGTCCTGGACTCCTACACACGTGTGTTTCACATGCCTTATCTAAGCCCCAACACAGACAACGCTCCGCATCAGACCAAACCATTCTCCATCTTCATGAAGCCAGATACAACCCGCGCCATGGCCTCCATTATAACTCATTATAAATGGATGAAATTCTGTTACATTTACGACACAGATTCTGGTGAGGTTTTCTTTTTTTTCTATTATGAAGGTCAGCTCTGTTTAATTAAGTGCAAGAACTTGAACCTTATCGAAATCATGCTTTCTTAATTGAAACATGCTCAGTATCAGCATTGGCTAATTATTGCTTCAATATTCATGATTTGGGAATTAGGGAACTTTTGTTCATTGTTAATAGCCTGTTTTCTTTTTGTTATCAAATCCCTAAAGTGTAGTATTTTCTGGTTTAATTTCAGTTGAGACAATCCTATTTGTACAATTATTTGACTGTCTCTCCTCGTACTCCTATCTTGTCATGAGTTCTTGCTATGTAAACTTGTTAAAAAGAGCGCTGAGGGGCCCGTTATTAAATGTATCAGACAGTAGTTTCCAGAGAGAACTATCTATACATTGATTGACTGTTTTATGATTACATAATATATCGTGAAAAACTTTGTTTAGCAATCAAAATCGAGAATTCTTGTTTTTAGGGTGTGTTACTTTCTCCAATATTATGAACCAACAAATGAAATTATTGAACTGAATCATTAAATAAACTCTTCGAACATTTTAAAACTTAGAAATTGTAGGGATAGCAATATAAAATGGTATTGTAATGAAAAATTAGACTTAAATGAAAAGAAGTTAAATATACTAGTTACCTATAGAAATGAAATAAACTATATATACATCGTTCCATTCAAATATATATCAGTTTCTTATTGTATCAGCAAGGGTATTTTACTCACTCACTTAGTCATTTAATAACTTTTAGAAAACTAATTTCTATTCCCAATTCCAATTCTGGCATTGTAGAAGCAATTTATAATTACACAGAAATGTAAATTGAAAACATAACAAGACAGTGGAACATTACCATATATTTTTTTATTTTATTCACACAAAACTTTAATGGGAATATTAATAGAACTTTATTGAGAATTGATTTCAAACAAAAGTACACAAAAAAGTTGAAAAAAGGAGTCATAGAACTCTTTTAAAAAGGGGGGAAACCCTTTCTTCTTAATTTTAAAATACTTGAATATTCTATTTGCAATATACATTGATAAAGTTAATTTTTAAATTTTTAAACATCTTTAAATAGGTTTATCACGACTTATGGAACTGAAGCAGCTGTTAAAAGACAACGACTTTCAGTATGCGGAAGTGACGTCAAGACGTCTCAAGAGCTTACATGACGCCCACAAGGACCTTAGAACGCTGGATGAAGAACATGGACATTTAAACGACACTAATCCAATCCATATTGTCTTTGATTTATCGAATGAAACTGCTTACGATGCGGTTTTACAACAGGTTTAACAATCTTGGACTTATTAGCTCACCTGAGCTGAAAGCTCAAGTGAGCTTTTCTGATCACATTTTGTCTGTAGTCCGTCTGTAAACTTTTTACATCTTCGACTTCTTCTTTAGAACCACGTAGCCAATTTTAACCAAACCTGCCACAAAGCATCCTTGGGTAAAGAGGATTCAAGTTTGTGAAAATTTTGTGGTATGTTTTAAAAATCTTCTTCTCAAGAACCACAGTGCCAGGAAAGGTGAAACTTATGGGGAAGCATCTTCAGGTAGTGTAAATTCAAATTTGTTCAAATCATCGCCCCCGGGGGTAGGGCGGGGCCACAAGGGACGATCAAAGTTTTGCATTGAAACATATAAGAACAATCTTTAAATATCTTCTTCCCAAAAATAGCAAAGCCATGATTGGTCATATTTATATGACAGCATCCTCAGGTACTGTAGATTCAAATTTGTTCAAATCATGACCCGCGGGGGTAGAGCGGGGCCATAATCAAGTCCTGTTTACTCTTCGCCGTATTGCATATGGATTTTTACCTGGAAGCATTCCTCAGGTAGTGTAGATTTAATTCTGTTCCAATCATCCCAGCCAGGGTTAGGGGGCGGGGGGCACAGACTTAAAGGGTAAAAAAGTCAGTGAGTCAAAGAAATATACAGGCATCCTTAGTTAGTGTAGACTCAAGTATTCAAGTTTGTTCAAATCATAGTCCCCTCTCTTAGCCACAGTGCTCAGGTGAGCGATGTGGCCCATGGGCCTCTTGTACATTTTAATATTGTTAAACATTACATATCAAGTTGTTATATAGTATATGGTGCTAAAATTTATGTTTTTCCTGCAGATACGAAATGTCGGAATGAATAAAAAAGGATATTCATATTTACTTGGCAGTTTGGTAGGTGTGTTTGTAGAATCACTGTCTAAGTGTTAAAAGTTTTTCGAATATGCTCCAAGTATGATATTTTACTTGGGTGAGCTAAAAAAAGTATGACTTCCAAATTTATTAATCTTTTCTTTCCTGTAATTTTTTTTTTTAAAATCATGCATCTCATTCCAAAACAGGATATAGTAAACCATGGATTGGAACGATTTTCTCATGGTGGTGTTAACATCACAGGATTTCAACTAGTAGATCATCAGTCAAAAAATGTCACAAATTTTCTGAAGGAATGGAGAGAATTACCAGTCTCTATTTGGAAAGGGGCCGGGGAAACAGTCAGGGTAAGAATTTTCAATGGAAATTGATCATTTGATGGAGTTTTCTTGATCGAACGAAATCGGCTAAACACAGACTGCCTTCATTGACTTCATTATCTCACCAGGTTGCTTAAGAAAAGGCATACCTTCAAATAGCGTATAATTGCCATCCTGCTGGAAAATATTTAAAATATATGTTATCCTTACAAATAAAATTAATGGAGTGCAATGTATAATGAGTACATTTTGAAAGTGTTATCGAATAAAAATGCTCCCCAAAGGAATTTATACAATTTTGTTTATTGTACAATTATTTGCACCAGGAATTTTACATGAAGTTTATGGGCAGCGCATATTATTTTAAGATAATGTAAATAAATCCTTTACGTCAGAAATTTTGAAAAATGAAACAATTTTTTTCTTTTCATATCAAGGGCTGATAACTCTTCAAAAAATTATGGTGCAAAGTAACACTTTTTCAGGTGGAATCTGCTCTCATGGTCGACACAGTGAGCCTTCTGCGTGAAACCATTCAATCAATGATAAATAACAATTCTGAAATCTTCAGATCTACATTTAGAAGAGCAAAAGTATACAATTATGACTTTACTCAAGGCATACCCTGTACTGGAAATAGACCATGGATGCATGGATTAAATATAATGAAGAATCTAAAAAAGGTTTGTTTATGAAATATAGTTAAATACATGTTTTGACAACATATTCTAGATAAATAAACTAAAATTTTATGAATTTGCTTTTTAAATTGCATCAAAAACACAATACCCTAGGCCCAAATTGACATACGAATCAACTTCAAAATATATGATTTACAGAACAGGATAGGAGATATAAAAGGTGTTCTTGAATTTTAAAGCAAATAAGGCCAATAAGACAAGGCATTTTCTCCTGTCAGTAGGTTATTTAAAAAAAATTTGCTTCGAATTAAGTAACCAAATAAATCATATATTTTGCTTAGTGATGTCAGAAATTACGTTTGCATTAAATAAAATTTGTACAATCTGAGAAAAGACGATTTATCTTCACTTACAGGTTTCCATTAAAGGACTTACTGGTGACATATTTTTAGATGAACACGGACACAGATATAATTATACTTTTGGCGTCTACAGAGTGGAGTTCAAACAAAATCCAACAAAGGTAAGTAAATAAGAAACCTTTAAGATCAATTTATGTGCATATTAATTTAATGTAAGTTTTTTGTTTTGTTTTTTTTTGGTTTAACATCCCTCTCGAGATTAAACACTTGTATGGAGACGCCACCACTTTCTGGCGGAGAGCTACAAATTTGACCTATACTCGACACTTGAGCAGTAAGGGATCTTGTTCGTGCCAGCATGTACTGCGACACGGGACTTTGGTTTAAACTGCCTCATCCGAAGGAGTTTGTTCATTACCTTAATTTTTCTGAAACATATCAAATTAAAAAAAAATGCTAAATGTTTTTTGAAAAGTCATTGAAACGCCTCTTAGACTCTCAAGCGATGTTTTTTTTTTTTTCGTAAAAGGTTGCCATTTCAAAATCATCTTCAGAATTACACTGTTGATTTCAACAAAAGTTAATTGAAACAGAAAAAAATAAATCAAAAAGAAAATTATTTTAAATGTTTTTATAGCGAATGAAATTTGAGCCGAGCATGGTCCCTACATCCAGGAAAGGGTAAAGTACGCGCCACATTTTAAAAGAATATAGACAGTAAAATATTATCAAAAATTGCTTTTCTCAAATGCATTGTTACAGGGCAGGGTTGGCCGGGATATACCGGTGGTGGAAATTACCAGTGGTAAATATCGGTATTTCCAGTCCCGGTTAATACGACAAATTTTATCCAAACTGGGAAATACAAAATTTTGCAATTTATTTCTTGTAAATTATTTCATATTATACATAATTCAGAAATAAAATGAACATAAAAACAGTAAATGAATAAAATCGAGAGTATTTTCTTTAAAAATACTTAGTATATCACTATTCTAGGTTCTCTACCAATATGCATTCTGCAGCAGAACATGTTTCCTTGATTGTATTTTAAGAACAAAACTGAAGTTTTCTGATTCAAGTTTCTTTTCAGTTTAGTATAATTATGGAGTTTATTAATTATAAACCCAAGAAGATAATTGTTTTAATTCTTCTATAAACACTGCAGATATTAAATCAATTATGTTGTTTTTTAAACTAATTGACTCTTGACAGTTTTGTGCTCCTATGTGAGAGATATAATTACCTTAAGCACTGAGTAGCACTGAAAGGCTTTTTCTTAGGTTTGGTATATACACTACATTTTACACTTAACAATTTTCTTAGATCTCTCTTTATTTACATTAAAAAAATCCATATGGGATACCTATATCTTCGTTTTATAATTATTTAAAATGAAATATTTAGGAAGTCATGTTTTTTTTATAATGTGATACAAGATTGATATCTTAGACAATAAGATGTACCACATGTCTACCCAAGCAAAATGATGTAAGTTATAAATAAGTAGCTTTTTCTTATTTCCCAGGAAATACCAGTAATTCCCGAGAATTACCAGTATTTCCCACCGTCCTGGGAAATATGAGTATATCCCGCTTTTTTGCTAACCCTGCTACAGGGACAACTGATATGCAAGCATAAAGTTGTATGAGATCTAGACGCACTTTTTCCTATTCAGGATCCCAGTGTAGGATGAGTTATTCTTCTGCAAAAGAGAACAAACTTTTTTTTTAAAAATGATTTAAGTTTCAGTCTGATTTTGTTAAATGTTGGGCGAAGGAGCGTTGTTTGTAAGAAGAGATATTTATAGAATAATCATTTTAGGCCTACATGCAAGGTTTAATAAAGTGCAAAACAAATATCGTGAAAACAAAAGAGTGTCATTCATTTTCGCTAAGTTGGGGCTACACTACATCTCTGAATATTCTAAAGGAAAAAAAGAGCTTAGATTCGGTGGGCTAGAAAGAACAATAAATTCTTTAGATCGATTTAATAAAACAGAAGAATATAATTAAACGGAGTGACCTTTATGGTATACGAATTCAATCACTTTTTTTATTTATATGTCTCAGATAGGCAGATGGATAGACAATGTCGGCTTCGTCCCCGAGGGAACCAATATAACACAAGAGACAGAAGATGACGGGCTGAAGACCTTGGTCATCACCAGTATTTTTGTGAGTAAAATTTATCACGCTCTGCCTGTATGTTAAAATTCAGCTTGATGTCTATAATTTAAGAGTCATGACAAGGATTATGAGGTGGGTGTGATAGGTCAGCAAGGGATGCTCGCACCTCCAAGGCATCTGATCCAACCTCTGATGTTTTAGTTCTCCGCGTTTGCTCTCATCCTGATTTGTATTGTATGAGCTTGAATACTGTTCACTATCCTTCGTATATGTCATACAACATTCCATGTGTATATGTTACGTTCGAAATACATCATTTCTAAACCAGCTGTGAAAATGAAACAAATATTTAATAATTCTAGGAATCGTTCATTAATGAAATTACACACACTTTTTCTAAGCAGGAGAGGCCATTTCTTCAATATAAAAAGGAATATGAAAATCCGGAAAACAGACGAAAAGTGAAGAACCCAAACGACCTGTACGAGGGTATTTTCCATTAATAATTGTTTTAATAACTCACAAGTTTATAATTTTTCGACTTGTACAAGGGTTGTTCAATAAGTTATACAACGTACGGTTTTTTCATAATAAATGTAAAAGCAAATGACTTTCTTTATTGCAGTTTAGATGTACTATTTAGACTCATAACCACCGTAAAAAGCATGGTTTTTCTTACAATCTTCATAAAGAAATTCACTTTTCATGTAAGCTTGGTCACTACACCGAACGGAAAACTGTTAAATTTGTCTTTTCTACGGTAATTAAATGAAGGGCGTATAAATGTCGCTGAATAACCAATATGAAGAATTTGGTTATGATATCGAAATAGATAAGTTTTCCACGCTCTACAGTCTTCAGATGGATTTAATAAGAAATCTACGAAAAATAAGATTGCTACAAGACCTCATGCAGTTTGATCAAAATCTTTAGGGCGCCAAAAAAGTTCGATGCTTCGATGCTGTGAGCAACACATCTGTTAATTACTTTGAAAGAAGTTGATATTGTTTGTTTAACGTCCCTCTCGAGAATTTTTCTTTCATATAGCCAAAAGAAGTTCTAACAAAGGAAATATGAATCTAAAAATATTTCTTTTTAAGCTGAGTGCAACATTTCCTCACAAATGCCTAAGAGAAAATATGTGGTTTGTGTCAGTTTAACATAATCACATAAAGAATGCATGACAAACTTTAGTAATGTGTGTAAAGTATTAAAATATTTAATTCAATACTTAAAAAATGCAAACAGAGAGAAACTTGTCTAATTATTGGAAAGAGAAGCAGGAGCTGCAAACATGTCGAATAAGTTTTTCTTTTTATTCAAGAAGATTGATATTAAATGAACCCACACTGGAAGAAAGGGCCATCAATGGCGTTCTTTTGATAAAAATTGCACTGAAGATAGTTCAACAGCCATTCTGAAAGAGAAGTCTTAGTCAGGTTCCCGAGTTAAATTTCTTGTTGCCTACAACGCATCTGCAAATAATTGTAGAATGTAGAGGAATCATGAGGAAAGTAAGCTAAGAAAATCTCAGTAATTGTGAGATATTTTTATTTGAAAAACTCCAGGAAGAATTTACAGTTTAAGCTACGTGCTATTTTTCAGTGTCTTTTGGCCATCCTTACAAAACAGTTTGCTGAGTCTGTTCTGGACATTGATATAAAGACCTAGAGACGTGTTGAAGGTTAACAGGGATACCATGATGGAATAAAAATATGAAGAAATTGTTTATTGTAGTTTAAATTTGAAAATAGCATTTTTCGTTAAGTATTGAACGACCCTTTTACATATTAAACATTAAAATTTTGAACAAAAATCCATGTGTTTATATCTTTTAGTGTAGAAGTTAAAACTAGAGGTACTGTGAGCAATGAGCTCACTAAATGATACCCCCGCCTCCCATATGAATATAATGGGAATGTCCATGTTTTGCTCTGGAAAATCCAAAATATATGTCTGATCAAAAAGTAAAATAGGAGGTGCACAATGGCAATATGTAATGAAGATTCTGTGAAAGTTTCATTAAATTTCCTTCAGTGGTATGAGAGGAGTTGCGGATAAAAGATGGGTACCCCAAAGCGTAACAGACGGACGAACGGACGGAAATACCGATTACTATATACCCTCCCACTTTTCAAGCGGGGGGTATAATAATAGAGATTTTTTTTTATGAAATTACATTTTATTAATAAAATTAAGTACTCGCATAAGATGTTTGGAATAACAACTGTCTTGTATAAAAATTATATTTCAGGTTACTGTGTGGATCTTATTGCTGCTGTTTCGGAAATGTGTGGAAACTTCAAGTACACAATAAGACCAAATAAAGACTCTGTGTACGGAACCAAAGAAAATGGGACATGGACTGGCTTAATTGGAGAACTTGTTCAGGGGGTTAGTCATCTGATAGGTGAAACCTGCAAAATAATAAATCTTATCTTAAAAAGTCTAAAATACAAACTGTACATTTTTTTGGGGGGGGGGGGGTAAGTTTTAATATTCTGCAAATACCACAGCGGTTTTAAAATGAAATATATGGCAAAACATCCCAATTGTTAAAAATTCAACCTATTGGGAAAACTCTTTTTAAACAGAAATTTGCCTATCCATTGCCGTTTTATCGTCAAATCTAATCACGATCGTTCAAGAATAAGATGAAATATTCCTTTTAAAATGATAACAGGCAACAATTTAAAAAAATGATGACCCATCAAAATATATTTTCTGAGCAAATATTTGTTTCCTATATTTGTTTCAGAAAGCAGACTTAGCAGTTGCTCCCCTGACAATAACAAAACAAAGAGAAGAGGATATAGCTTTTTCTAAACCATTCATGAATAGTGGAATAAGCATAATGATCAAAAAACCTGAGATTCAGAAACCCGGGGTCTTTTCTTTTCTGAAACCATTTTCCATCCCCCTTTGGATGTGTATAATAGCAGGATATTTCTGTGTCAGTGTTGGGATGTTCATCGTCAGTCGTTTTAGTCCAGCGGAATGGAGACGGAAGTGTTTACGAATGGATAATGGTGTCGTAAATAAGTTCACATTAGAAAGCTCACTTTGGTTTACCATGGGGGCACTGATGTTACAGGGTAGCGACACATGTCCAAGGTTAGTCAAAGAAAAAGATTATACATATAGATCTCCACAACGACAAAATTGAAATTCGATGATATTCGTACTTCTTTTGTAGCATAGGTATTGTTACCTTTTTAACAGCAATTAGGGATATTCAAATTTTGGACAGGTCTGTAGCTGGACGTATTATAGGGGGAACCTGGTGGTTTGCTGTTTTGATTGTCATTTCATCCTATACGGCAAATTTAGCAGCATTTCTCACAATAGACAAACTATTAACTCCAATTCAAAATGCTGATGACCTCGCAGCCCAAACAGAAATAACTTACGGTACACTGTCTTCTGGATCTACGCAATCTTTTTTCAAGGTATGCAAGTTATCTCTCTCCATGTTTGTCCACAACAGGCACTAGGATTAGATATGTAATTTAAAGCTATTTTTCTGATTTTTTCTCAATTACTACAGGAATCAAAAGTTCCAACATATCAAAAAATGTGGGCGTACATGTCCACTGCTTATCCAAGTGTTTTTGTCAAGACGACAGAGGAAGGTGTTCGAAAAGTCCGAGATATGAAAGGGAAGTATGCTTTTCTATTGGAATCGGTATATAATGAATACTTTAGTCAGAGGGAACCGTGTGACGTTATGCAAGTTGGTCCGCCACTCAACACCAAGGGATATGGTATCGCAACTGCAAAAAGTAGAAAACATCAAGAACTAACGTAAATTATTTATATTTTGTTCATGTCGCTTACAAACGTATTGAATAAGAGTGTACTTTACAAAAATAGTAATCACATAATAAATTTCAAAAAATGTCCTGCAGGGAAATGGTATCTATAGCAATACTTCAATTGAAAGAAAATGGATCTTTGATAAAAATGAAAAGGCGGTGGTGGATTGAGAAAGGAGAATGTGGTGTTCAGGAGGAAAACCAGGTATGTAACATACATGTAGGGTCATAATCTACAAAAGACTTACTGAATTATGTTACAGAAGTTTCATTTAATTCCATCAGTATGTTGTCTTAAACATCAGAGAACAGAGAGGATCTTAATTTGAATTTTTATTTGCATGTATTTATATAATAGTAAAGGTATATGTTTTAAAAATTATGGAAATTTTAATATAATTTTTATTTTCAATAGAAACAGGGTAGCAAGAAGAAGAAGAAATCACTTTCATTAAGTAATCTGGCCGGGGTTTTCTTCATTCTTATAAGCGGTCTTGTTTTTTCTATCATTCTCGCAGTTATTCATTTCCTACGATCGAGGTCCAACAGTAAACAAGGGGTAAGCATGTCCTCAACAAAACTATCAACTTCGAACGAATTTCAACATTTCTGCCTTTACAAATGTAGAATGTTGAAGAAGAGTAATCTTAAGTAAAAGCATGAAAATTTCCTCTAATTTATAAAAAAAAAATGTTCATTACATTGAAATTTACGAACTTGTTTATTTTCGTTTCCAAGGGGTTTCTTATGCTTGGGAATGACAATACAAGTATGTATCCTGAATATACTACATATCCTATAGGAGAACATAGCAATGGAATGAGTCCAAAAGTGCCTAAAGGGGTGTGTCATTCTTTTTGAAAATTCTTGATACATTCTGTATGCTTGTTAAAGTTAAAAATTAATTCTTCATTCTTAAATAAAATTTGCTTATAAAAATTAATGTAAAGAAGAGTAATTATCAAATTATTCTTACACTTAAGTTAAAGATAGTGAAAAAAGAAAATATTTATTTTAAATTTAAGCATAACTAGTTTAGCATTGTTTTTTAAAATTATAACATGTTACGTTTACGTTATTTGGCATCTCTATACGAATACAATATATAATGAACATACTTTGTGTAACTTTTTAAAGCAAATCAGTATTGCACGATATCGGAAAAAAACACTTTATGGTTTATTTTTTAAAGTAACAAATGAACATTAAGAAATTTTGTATTGTAGATTTTATCCAACTCTGACAAGTTTGCCACGAACGATGAGTCAAATCACAGAGTCAACCACATTCATGCTACCAGTCTTCTTTGACACGTGTGATTAATTTTATATAAACTACACGTATTTTATTTTTATTCTTTACATTTTTAACACCTCTTATCTATAATATTTTAATAAACTTAGCAAGCCCATCGATAAAATGTTAATGAATTCTAACCAAACCCTCAAATATTTCCCCACATGGTCAAATTGTATGATTGTACTCTGACTGTTAGTTTTTTATTCATTAATTCTATATGCATTTTTATTGTGTTGCCTTTTGTAAACATATAAATTTTATTGATGAAATTTAGAGAAGAACTTAATATTTTTATTGTGTAGGACAATTCCAGAAACGAAAAAGATCTATTTTTCAATCTTTAAAAATATGCATCGGAGTACATCAAAAGTAGTATCAAAATAAAGAGATGGCCTTAGTTTTCATCGAATTTGTCGCTGCTTAACTACTTCCATAACTGAATGTAAGACTTGATTTTTTTAAATTTTGTTTATGTTCTAATTGAAAGATTAAGGCGGCATATCCCCCTCCCCATTGTCAAATAACTATTTCGTACCTGACACGCTGATATTTTACATGATAATGACAAATTATTATAATTTTCTGATGATATAATATTCCACAGATCAACATTATTATCTGATAAATGGACATAACAATCTGACAAGCCAACTTGTCAGAAAATGATGCGACTTCTCAGAAAAATGTACTTATTTTCCAAAAAAGTATGTGGATTTTACAGATGTTATGATGACAAGCACACATTAGATGTCAGTAAGTTGCTTAAACATGCTGTATAAACAAGTTGTTCTAGGTCGTGATGATTTTTATCTTAAAAGTCGACAAATGACAAGCTGACATACAGTTGGTGTACATGTATAGGTCTGACAATTCAACATAAACATCTGACAAGTCGACATTAACAACTGACAAGTGGTGGCAGGAATGCATGTATGCCACATTAAAAGATAAATATGACCATAAATATATTTCATGTTCAGTTTTTTTAATATTGACGAATGTCCTATAGAAATACATAGTTAGTCAAAAGGCTAGTATATTACAATGTACAGAGATAATAATGTTTTAAGGAATGATGTGGCATATTAAAAGTTTGAATTGACAGAATGGTACTGTTTGTTTAGCTGTTGTTTTGCAATGAACATAATTTTCCGCATGTAGTGGGTACGAATTATTCTATTAAAAGGTGGACTGAATATGTTATTTAACATACTCGGTAATAATAATAGTTAAAAATAGTAGTTAATAATAATAGTTAAAAAAATCATGACGTACCAAAGGGTTTAAACCCTTTGGTACGTCATGATTTTTCTAACTATTATCTTAAAGATCAAGTGTTAATTAAAATTAATGTACATGGAAGAATTTTTATTTACAAACTAAAGGGTTCTAAATCATAACCAAGCACCCAGTATATAAAAAAGAGGCCCATGGGCCACATTGCTCACCTGAGTACTTGGATAATGTAGTTCTTAACCAGATTTCCCCTCTTGTTATACCTATTGTAGCCCCCTACCCCCGCCCCCGGCATGGTTTTATATCTAGAATCTACACTACCCCGGGATGCTTCCACATAAGTTTCAGCTTTCCTGGCCCAGTGGTTCTTGAGAAGAAGATTTGGATCCCCTATTGTGGCCTCGCCCTACCCCCGGGGTAATGTTTTAAACAAAGTAGAAACTACACTTCCCCAGAATGCTTCCACATAATTTTCAGCTTTCCTTGGCCCAGTGCATGGTTCTTAAGAAGAAGATTTCTAAAGATTTTTTAATATAAATTTTTATCTAAAACTTGGGATTCCCTATTGTGGCCTCGCCCTACCCCCAGGGATCATGATTTTAACAATTTAAATCTACAATCCCTAAGGATGCTTCCACGAGCTTTCCTGGCCCCGTGGTTCTTGAGAAGATATTTTGTCTTTTCCTGATTATCTCCCCTTGTACGGGGACTAGGCTCTTCATTTTAACAATTTAAACTCCCCTTTACCCAAGGATTATTAAGTTTGGTTAAAATTGTCCCAGTGGTTCTTGAGAAGAAGTTGAAAATGTCAAAAGTTTACAGACGGACGGACGACGGACATCGGGTGATCAGAAAAGCTCACTTGAACTTTCAGCTCAGGTGAGCTAAAAACTATAGCTGTTTCCTAGGTCAATACGATGATTTAGCCATCCTAGAGATGCAAAATTGACTGAGGGCAAAGGATTTATTGTACTTCGACTATTACTACATGTATATACCATTGTTTTGTCTGAAAAACAGCAATGTTTATTTCATCATATGATTTGTTGATTAGGGGCAGATAATACAAAGTTTTATAAACTAGAGTGTTCCAAGAAACCCATGGGTCCTCTGCTTTGTGGCATCATTAAAGATGTAAATAAATTTAAGCGTGGTCAGCTTCTTAAAGGTCAAGTATAATATTTTTGTGAAAATTCATAATTTTTCATTATTGTCAGTCTCTGGAGCAATATGAATGACATTCTGAGGTCTATTTATTTTTTGTCACCAATTTCCATCACTAATAGTCGTTTAAACTTACCTGTGTGACAAGTGGATCATTTATTGTAAATAGCTTATCTCCCTTGTTGCGTGACGTCATCAGAGACAGCGTGAAATAGGAAGTGCATGCTATATTGCCGTGTTTGGAACATTATGGTTTGCGAGATGTTGCCATGTGGGCTTTTAACTGTACCGATAAATCGGAACAACACATAAGTATATATTTAAATTCTTACGCACCTGAAATTGAGGGAAATATGGACATTCAATTTAAAAAGACGTGGTTTTGAGTCCAATAAACACGAAACACTATAAATATAAGCGACATTATACATAGACCAGTTTAGGCTACATTTTAATTAATTAAAAAATTATCCCACAAATTTCTTGGTTTTATTTCAAATTTACGTTCAATAAATAATGTCATCAGGGCTCGGAAAGAAAGAAAAAACGCTTTTCTATGATTTTGTCTTAATGGTTTAACTAAAATATTCTCTTTTAATTAAAACACATGTCCGTATCATTTTTATTCAATTTCTAATTGGTTTTAGAACACAGTTTTGAGTAAGAACCTTCGTATACTGGAAAATGGCAGATCCTATGATTTGCTGTACTTGTTTTTTTCTTTCTGAAGGGTGTTTTCCTAAGTTTGGGAAATGAAACAAGTCAAAGATTAAAAGATCTGGCGAATATTGTTGATGTGACAAAGCAATAACTTTCTGTTTACCCCAAAACTCCTTTACTCTTCATGGCCTGTGGGTTTGGACGCTGTCAGGAAGAAATTTAATGTAGTGAATTCCTCATTCTGTTTCATTCCTCTCATAAACCTTTCAATTTTCTGGCAAATATTTTGCTTACTAAGACTCCTTCAGAAATTTAACTACCTTCCTATATATGAATTTGAACAACAAGACCGCTAATATTTAAGAAAATAGCGTATAAAACTGTTTTTGTCTTCTTGCAAATTTTTGCTCTTCTTAGGCCTTTGCAGTTTTGTCAAGTAAATCTTATTCTAAATTTGTTTTGAGGGTTTAACGCAAAATGGATTCAAGTTTCATGATGTGTTTGAATTTCAGAAAAACGTGGATAAGAACAATTTTTGATTTTTTAAAAATAATTGTTTAGATTTTCTACACGCTCTTGTTTTCACTCATTTTTAAAAATATAGGGTGACCTTTGAGTATTAAACTTTTTTACAATCAAATGTTTCTTTAAAACAGTGTAAACTACCCCCAGAATGATGTCTATCAAATTTGCTATGTAACTTAAAGTCAATAAAACATAATCAGTGATAATTTGTTGAATTATCGCTAATATACATTGGTTGTTGTATGTCCTTGTTGACAAGGACGGTACCCATTTTTGATGCCCATTATATAATTTTTGTTAATTGAAATCCACCTGTTCATGTGTGTATGAAACAGACATAAGTTGCTGTAAATTTCACATATTTCATTAAGGTCTTCCGTTTCCAACGGAAGACCTTCTACTGATTCTGATGATTAAGATTATTAAGGTCTTCCGTCTTCAGCGGAAGACCTTGTTTTTCTTAGGTTTCTTTTCCACTATTTTTAAGGTCTTCCGTCTTCAGCGGAAGACCTTCTTGTTATTCTTAGGTTTCTTTTTCACTTTTATTAAGGTCTTCCGTCTTCAGCGGAAGACCTTCTTGTTATTCTTAGGTTTCTTTTTCACTTTTATTATTATTATTTTTATTCTTTTTTTTCTTACCGATTTTGTGCACGCGATTTCTCGAAAACGGCTCGATGGATTTCAACGAAACTTTCAGGACTTATGTAACATTACTTGAACCTTATGCATTTTTTTCCGTTTTGATGATGTCACTTCCGGTTTGGAAATATTGCCGATTTTATGAATTTTAAAGGGTCAGGTTGTCTCCAGACTTTCTAAATAATGGCTCTAGATAGAAACATGAAACTTTCAGGTATGATAGAGCAAAGTCTATAGATATGCGTAACGTCTTTCGTTTTACCGAAAATGCAGTACGTCGGCGCTGGCTATGGCTCGAAAAATGACATATTGCAAATTTCAAAATTTTTAACACCTTTTCTACGATATCTTTTTACCTGTTAACATTTTGTTTAAACATATAGAACAAAAGAAGTGTAAAATTTCAAGATCTTTCAAATGATATCTTTAAAAAAGGGCTGGCCCCTAAATTTAAGGGCCTAGAGGGGCCGAAAGTTTTTCTTTCAGAAGTCAAAAAGTATTAAGAATTTGTAAGGGGTCAAAGAATCAAAGTTGTTCAAAATGTCAAGCTTTATCTACTGGTGTCGTCAAAATACGTCCGGCGTCGTCACTTCCGGCCAAACCGGAAGTAGTCGGAAAACGCGTTTTTTTGCCGTTCTTGACAAGTTTTGTGGTTAGATTAGTCTCTGGAAGCATAAAACGTAATTTTTCCGTCCGTCGTCGTCACTTCCGGTCAAACTGGAAGTAGAAAAAATGGCTTATTTTGAAGGTTTTGGTGCAAAAATGAAATTATAAAGTCACTGGAGACTTTTTAGCTCATTGCTTTCTTTTGTTCTGTCACTTCCGGCACTTCCGGACGGAAGACCTACTCGTTGCTTTGCAACGAGCTTTGCTCTAGTTATTATTATTATTATTCTTTTTTTTCTTACCGATTTTGTGCACGCGATTTCTCGGAAACGGCTCGATGGATTTCCATGAAACTTTCAGGACTTACGTAACATTACTT